GTCACGGGAAAAGAGTGTAATGTGCGTAGGCCTGGATAATGATTGCATTCCAACGTTCACAACCAGAATATGCCAGAAAGTGGGACACATTTAGTAGACGACTCTCAGATATTGTCTTCTCTAAACTGAAGAAGCCTGCGTGTGTGCATGCACGTTAGAGGACGGTGTGTGTGCGACTGAGCAAGGACATTAAAAATTGATACGCCGACTCTGGTCGCTGACTAGTGCTGTAGGGTAGGGATTGATTGCGCTTTTCACCAGACGCGCGGTAAGCGTGTGCCGTAGGAATGTTTGGCTCGTCCAATGAGTATATCTCAGAATGTCGACCTAGTGCGGCTTGGCTGTCTGCCGAACGGCAACGACTGAGGCACAAATGAGACGCGGATAAAAGCTCTAATAAGTAATACATTGCTAAAAAGTAATTTGTGGTGATCAAAATCTGAGTTGCCAAAGGTAAAGCAAAGCTTGTTGTTGCTTTGGCGAATGATAACGTCGTTCCTTCCGAAGTTTATGCGAGCTCAAGGTCTAACTGATTTAAGTACGTACTTCGGGTATGCTCTATTTATGAAGGCTTCATCAGAGTGGTGGCAGGAATGAAACCATAATCTGAAGACCCGAAAACCTGAAGTCCTTTAAAGTACTTCTGTAGTGGCCCGACTGCGAATGCAACGCTCAGTCGCTCGCGACTGCTTGCACGTGCGCACCAGGATCTACCGACACCAATACGGTCTGGCCAATCAGTTCGCTGAGGCTGACTCACACGTGACCCCGCTGAAGGTTCTGCGATGACATCCACGCCCTCCCACTTGGGGCGCCACCCCCGCGGCTGCTGACGCGTGCTCGTCCGGCTGCCAACTTCTTCCAACCTATTCTCCGCTACCCATGTACATAATATGCTATTCCTCCCGCGTGGCGTCCCGCTTCTTCTCCTTCTACGCGGAACTGGGCCTGACGATCGTAGTGGGAGGGGTATTCCTTTTGACTTACGCCACTGCGATACTTCTGTTATAGAAATGACAGGCCTGATAATTCGGATGGCAAACCATCAGTTTCGAAAAATAAAGGACATACTTGTAAGGGGGGTTGGCAGATTTGCTTAATTCGGTTGACCCAATTGTGAAAAATTTGCGGCGTCGGTGGCAGCCAACCTCACACGGCAGGGAAGGCTTTTGCGCAGCCAACGCTTTACCTCTGAGCTACGAGGCTCACCCTGAACTGTAAATTTAACCACACTTGGATTGATTTTACCGGCCCAACTTTCCGCTCGAATGGAATCCACCATTCCGGAACAGCAAGATGACTGTCCAAACCCCCCAACAATTAAGTGAGCCTAGTAGTCACTCTGACGGATTCAAGAAGACTGCTTAGGAAATCCTGCCCGGGCCGTCAGCTTACTGCTCCGTAATGTGGGATTCCATACAAGCAGTAAGCCGGGCGGGTAAATTCGATCTAAGTGTGATTAAATTCACGGCGTACGGTGAGCCTCGTAACTCAATGGTAGGGCGTTGGCTGCGCAAAAGCCTTCCCTGCTGTGTGGGTTCGACTCCCACCGAGGCCGTGAATTTTTCAAAATTGGGTCAACTGAACTTCATACTTATGAACGCAGCCGCACGCAAAAAAGCAATTCTTGCGCATAGTCTGCTTCCTGCACTCAGCAGTCTTTCTGCCGTTCATCCATCCTGATCGAAGCGGACTATATAGTTCGTGGCAATTACTTGAGCGTTGAAGTATAGCAAGAATAGGACGCATAGAATCGATCTAAAGTTATCCTCCGGAATAACTTGTGTGCTTGAAGCACGGTTGTCTCAAGTAAACTGAAAGGGGCACATTGAAGCGTGGTGACTTCTTTCTCACCCGGTGAGTGACGAACGGTGCTGGTTGTTCTAACACAATAAATTCAACATTAACCAGCAGCAAAGCTGGCACACCACATAGACCCCACACGAAGCCTGCTCCTACCAACAGCATCTACATTCGGGTTATTCAAACGGCCCTGGATGGATCAAGATTGTATGACCGCAGACGACTGTCTGATGTGCATGGGCGCTAGATTCAAGCCTGTGGAACACTTGAAGAGCATGCTACACAAGCGCTTCCATTAGACGCTATGCAGACGCCACGAGAGCATTTCTAGTGTAATGAAAGTATGTCTTCAGACATTGCTTTGATTCCCTAATTATTAACTTGATCTCGACTTCAATAAGAGCAGGTTGTTTCATTGCTGATACTCTTCAGAGGATCGAAGTTTTATCTACGTCTTAATCGATTCGTGGCGTCTGGATATTTCGTTCTATCCACTTTCGCATCAATCGAGAGTGACTTTTCGAGCTGGACTGTAACTGTTATTTAGTACGTTGTCTAGATGCTCCTCCTAAACTCCGACAGTTTCGACTGGCATTGCTTGTCGTATAAGCAAAATTCTCACGCGGAAACTTTAAAGCTGAACTGCCACTTAACTACCAATATCGAGACAATCTTATATCTATTGCCGCCTCTCCTTATCGTAACTGTGTGATCGGAATCAGTTACCGTAGCGTGTACACCAAACTCCCGGTCGATCTTTTGCACGGTCACACATGGCAGGATGTTTTCGATCCGGGATTTTGCAACTCCTGTTGGCCGCTTGGTAACAATTAAATAATATGACATAAACACACCACTGTACCATCACATCTACTTTTTTAGCCTAAGACAGGTCTGCTCGCAGGCACTCGGTCACGGCTAGTGCCTGTGCACTTTAAAGCATCATTCCTATAGGCGGACCGTCCAGCTTCGAGTCCAACGGTGCATCCGACGAAGCCTTTGTTCAAAACTGCAAGGCTGTGCAACATAATTGGCTCACCCAGTAAGGTAGTCTCCAGAATTCGTCGCACGCGTAAACCGCCATCGACTCGAAGAGACGAGGTTGGATGCATACCTCTTCGCAGATGCTCCCATCAGCATAAGAAACTTGTGGCGCTTAGCTTTTTTTATTCCTGCCGACCTGGTGTTAAACATTTTTGGCCCATTCGGAATTGTCGCCCAAATAAAAAGTTTTCATCGTCAGCCGGAAATTTCTGTCATTTTCTCCCTACGTGAGGCAAGTGTTCGCGGTACAAAGGTATGTATAAGTATGGAATAAGAAAACTTTCAAACACTGATGTCATTTCTGTAGTCATCTGAACTTTCGAACTAGAACAGGAGCCCATTACCTTAGATAAAAGCGGCAATAAAACAATCACCTGTTATAGGGGGTCGGAGCCAGTCAAATGCTAGTAACGCTAGTCCGACGTGAGTGTACCGCCGGCTGCACACCCACCAGATCTATATATCGATTTGCTGAGTTCTCATCGGAACTCCGGACTTCAATCTATTCGCAGCTGGTCTTTCTTCTGGCGTGGCTCCTATCCTTATAAATAAATAAATTTATTCTACACCCATAAGGGTACATTCTTACTATCGCTTGTTTTGTTTCCACTTTCATCTCTGACGATAGCTTCCTGTACGAGTTCGAAAATTTAGATGAATAAAGAAGCGGTTCAGGTGATCCAACCGCTTTCTTCTTCTCTACTTATTCTATCCTGAGTCTAGTTGGTCCCTGAACTCTGCTCCGCT